GGATTTTGGCCTTAACTCTAAGGATGATGTTCCTATGAACTGGTATGATTGAAGATAGTGGGACTGAAGATTGTAGATATGGAGTCTGAGAGGTTCACAAATTCAGAATTGGATGTTAAATTTAAGATGCCCATTAGACATCCACATGGAGAGGATGAGTGAACATAGATATATCCATATATAGTAGGTGTGTATGTATATATATGTGTATATGTATATGTGTGTGTATATATGTGTATATATATACACACACATATACATATGGAAAAACATTTGGTCTGAAAAATTTACCTAGGACATCCACATCGTATTTGAAAATATGAGACTGGATGAAGACTGCAGATAATGAAGAGGTCCTAAGTGTTTTTTCTTTGGGGTATTCCAGTATTAAAAGGTCACAAAGATGAAAGTGCAGAACCAAGAAACTGAGTAGAAAAGCCAATTATGTAAAAGAAAAAAAGTATGTTGTTCTATAGACTACAGGATTAAAATGTTTCCAAGAAGAGTTATGTCAACTGTGTTAGGTCAAAATGAGTACTGATTATTGACTTTTGAATTTAGAAACATGGACATAGGTAACAGATGACCTTAATAGAATCATTTTTAGAGTAGTAAAGGTGAATTCTGATCAGGGTGAATTAATAAAACTTTAAAGAAGTGAAATTCAGTGTAATTTTTGCTTGGCTCTTTTTTGTTTCCTTTTCAAGTACCTACTGGGAAGCATTTGCAAATTCTGAAAACTGCAACTTATCAAATATACATAAATGCTAACCCAAGACATCAGTATTTAAATGCAGCTTTGCTTGGTGACCTCATTAAGGAACAAAGTAGTCCGCTGTGATTAAATCAGCACAGTAAAAGCATAATGGCCACTAACTCAATGAACTAGATGGACTCAGATCCAACTACAATCCGGGATAACCTTGAAAATCTCCAGCATGTAGTATGCCATGGTAAAAATCATTGACAACATGTTTCAACATCAGTCAGCAGCAGAAATCCAAAGGTTTCCACTTTGCCAATGCCAGACACCTGAATACTCTTCCCGATCTATCTTTGCATATTTCCAGTTCCAGTTGTTAAATATACCTAGTGAAGTTACCAAGTCCTATACAAAAAATGAGAAGTGTTTCAAGCAGCTTAAAGTCTTATTTTCAAATTATACAAAGAGATGGAAATTCAGGAAATTCCTTAAATTCTAAGTTTGTTTCTTATACTCTAGTTATAAAGTTCAGAGCAGATTTTCAGCATTAAATAGTGACACATATCAAGTTTCAGATATTTATTATTCAGTGTAAACCCCAACACAATACACCAACATGATTTCGTGCATTTAGAGGGGAAATATTTCCTGGATAAGTGGAAAATTGTGCGGATGGCTTCTGGAAGACCTTCATTCTAAGCAGCTTTATAGTGAAACATTTCATTTAGAAGTCTGGACCTTCTTTCTTCAGTTTGCTGTAATCTACATTCACTGAGTAGAACTTG